CAGAACTTCCACTAATTCAGATTGACAAATCTTTCCAATAACCCTTATTTGTGAAGTTTTCCTTTAAGTAAAATACCTGAATAGCATTATTTTTGTTTCTCAATTAATATTTAATGAGAAAAATGGGTAAGGGTTTACCAAGTTATATTTTACCCCTGTAAAAGAAATGTATCTACAAAATGTCAAAAGAAAGAGAGAGAGAGAAAAAAAGAATCATCTCCTCGGGCCAGGTTGTCTCTAGTACATTCTCCTGATTTAATTTGTTCCCAGCATCTATCATCAGATTTATCTTTCCCTAATTCCCCCTTGTTAATGAATGGTGGGTTTCATAGTGGCATATTTGTACATATATAAAAATGTAATTTTATTATATTCCCCACACCTAGACCAATGTCTGGCTCATGGTCTGTATTTATTGTGTGAATGGAGAGTCTAATTATCACTTTTATAAGCAAACTCCCATTGTATGGAACTTTGGTGTAAAAAGGCTAATGTTCAAAGATTCTCAGGGCTGTTCTTATATTCAATGGATATTCTTGCATACTTTCACTCATTCATTGTAAATAGCTTATTGATCCACCATTCTCCCTGTCATCCTTCCTGGTGATTTGAATATAAAGTGCAGCTAGAAGTGAAGCTTGGTGCCTTAATATTAAGAAGACTAAATTTGTAACAGAAACATTGGTAAGTATATAAATGAAAAATTGTCTTATTGCCAAATGGCCCAAATTCCTTTGCTTCTACAGTGATACTGGAATTGGGCTCTCGTTTCTTTACTGTAATAATAAAGGAAGAAGATACTTCTAGTGACTAGAGATAATACACGTCATCAAGCTGAAAGAGATCCAAACAAATTTGTAAACACACAATAATTTTTGGTAAAATTGCTGGTTATCTGCAGAACAGATGCAGAAACTAAAATAACAGGGAAGAACAGTGTAGGGAAATCAGAAACTAAATTTTAGAGATTGAATCAAGGGGTCTCTCAAAGGAAATTTCACATAGTTCATTTTTTAGCATGTTATGCTATCCTTTTTTTGTGTGTGTGGTGCTGGGGATTGAACCCAGGGCCTTGTGCATGCTATACATGTTTTTATTTTATTTTTATTGGTAAAGATTAATTATATAGAAATGTGGGTTTCATTGTGGTGTATTTGTGTGTGTGTGTGTGTTTGTGTGTGTGTATATATATAGTAATTTGATCAATTTCACTCCCCAATACTTCTCCTACACTCTTCTCCCTCCCCCTATCAAAAAAAAAAACAAACAAAAAACAGAGATTCCTTTTCTACTATCACAGCATCCTTTTTCTCCTGATTGGTTGTCTGTTTCCTTCTAACTTCTTCATATGAGAGAAAATATATGGTACATTTCTCACTGAGTCTGACTTAGATTGCTCAAAATTATATTCTCCAGTTCTATCCATTTTCCTGCAAATGACATAATTTTATTCATCTTTATGGCTGAGTAATATTCCATTGTGTATATGTACCATGTTTTCTTTATCTATTCTCTGTCAATGTACACCTAGGCTGATTCCATAACTTGACTATTGTGAATTGTGCTGTGGTAAGCTTCTATCTGTAAGTATGCTGACTTTAAATCTTTTTTTTCTTTTTTTTATTGGTTGTTCACAACATTACAAAGCTCTTGACATATCATATTTCATATACATTAGATTGAAGTGGGTTATGAACTCCCAATTTTTACCCCAAATGCAGATTGCAGAATCACATCGGTTACACATCCACATTTTTACATAATGCCCTATTAGTAACTGTTGTATTCTGCTACCTTTCCTTTGAATAAATACTAAGGTATGGTATATTTGGATCATATGATAGTTCTATCTTTAGCTTTTTGAGGAAACTTTAAATGGGTTTCCATTGTGATTTCCAAGAGTATGTAAGAGTTCCCTTTCCTGCATGCTCCCCAGTATTTATTATTATTTGAATTATTGATGATTGCCATTATAACTGGAGTCAGAGAATTTCAATGTAGTTATAATGATAAAAATGAACAGTGTAAGCCAGGCATGGTGGTGCATGCCTGTAATCCCAGTGTTCAGGAGGCTGAGGCAAGAGGATTGTCAGTTCTGAGCCAGGCTCAGCAATAAGCGAGGCCCTAAGCAACTCAGTGAGACCCTGTCTCTAAATAAAATACAAAATAGGGCTGAGGAGGTGGCTCAGTGGTCGAGTGCCCCCGAGTTCAATCCTTGCTACTCCCCAAAATAAAGTAAAAAATAAACAGTGTAGTTTTGATGCTAGAAATAAAATGATTTGTGTTTCACTGATGGCTAAAAGTGATGTTGAACATTTTTCCATAAAATTGTTGGCAATTTCTATTTTTTCTTTTGAGAAATGTCTGTCGAGTTTATTTGTTTATATATTGATTGGGTTATTTGTTTTATAATGTTGACTACTTTTAGTTCTTTATTCTGGACATTAATTCTCTTTCAGAAGAGTATCTGACAAAGATCTTCTCCGTTTCTGTAGGCTTTCTCTTCACCTGGGAAATTGCTGGTAAGATTCCATGTTGGACGACTGAAGGGTATGGGGTCCAAAGTCCATGGGCAATGGTAGCAGCCACAGATGCATCAACTCAAGAAAAATCAAGCATTCACCCAGTACAGCTTCCTCCTCCCATTTTTTTTTATCCCATTTGGGCCCCCAGTTTATTGAACAGTGTCACCATTCAGGGCAAGTGTTCCCCCTCAATTTGCTGTCCCTCATGCCAATTGTCTCTGGAACTACCCTCATAGACATGTCCAGAAGTCTTTTAATCCTAAGCATCTTTAAATCCAATCAAATTTATAATTCTGATTAACCATCTCAAATGCCAATTGTATGTGGGGCTTTGTTTTTGGCTGTCTTATCTCCATATAGACACTACACCTACCATCTAAGGAAGTATCCATTTCTAATGTTCCCTTTATTCCTCACTGCCTCACCTCATCTAGCATATTATTGGGCACACACTAGCCCAGTTCATACTTGCTTTCTATCATTACAACAAAGTACCTAACATAAACAAAAGGAGGAAGGAAAGGTTTATTTTGGCTTATAGTTTAACAGGTTTCAGTCCATGGTCACTTGGTTCTACTTTTTTTTTTTTTTAGCACCAGGGATCCCATGGGTGCTTAACCACTGAGGCACATCCCCAGCCCTCTTATATTTTGAGATAAGGTCATGCTAAATTGATTAGGGCCTAAATTTCTGAGGCCAGCTTTGATATTGTAATCCTCCTACCTCAGCCTCCTGAGCTGCTGGGATTATAGGCATGTGCCACTGCACCCCAGCTGACTCTATCATTTCTGCACCCATTGTAAGGCAGAATATCATGGCAAGGAGTATTTGGTGAGGAAAAGTTGTTTACCTCATGGCAGCCAGGAAGAAGAGACAGAGGGAGGGACAAGGAACAAAATATGCTGTTCTAGGGCATGCTCCCAGTAGCCTACTTCCTCCAAATAGGCCCCACCTCTTATAATTTCCACCAACTCCCAATAATGCAATCAAATTATTAATCTATCGATGAATTAATCCCTTAATGAGATTAAAGCAATCATGATCCAATCACTTTCCTAAAAGCCCCATCTCTGAGTACTGCTGCTTAGAGGAACAAGCCTTCAGCATGTGAGACTTTGGGGGAGATTCCAGACTCAAACCATAACATAGATGCTGCAGTGAGTCTAAATACTCTAAATCAATAGTTTAACATTACAACCGTCTCAAATTGACTCACATAGTCCCAGTACATAGTGGTACAAAAAAACTTTGAAATACCATACAAAATTTGATTGACTTAATCTATTATTTCTTCAGAATTACCTAAAACCTAAAGATTTCATTATTTAAAAGGTAGTATAAAACACTTAGATAAAAGAAAGTCAATCACATTTTCAAATCTGAAAATCAGACACATAGTTGACTGGACATTTATACATTTAGATGTTGTGGATTATCATTATTACTTAAGTTGAATTACTGTGATAAACCTGGAAAACAGCAAAACAAAGGCTGTTTTATACTTTGATTCTGCCTTCTAATGTTATCATTACTATCTCAGCAGAAACACTGAGAAATAGTGCCAGCAGTGGAATAATGGCAGTGAAAAAGCCATCTTTGTGCTGTTACTGCTTTCCTGTCTTTGTTTAGCTTTGTACAGCCAGCACATCTTAATATCACAAACTTCAAGTTCTACAAGGTAACTAAACTATGAACACAAGGCCACCTGGTTATGGTTTCTAATTGAGGGTAATACATCTGATCTATCATATAACCTCAGTATATTGGTTTCTAATGGAAAATAAAACCATCATGGCAAAATCTGAACACCTAAAAAGTCAACTTTACTTGATGAATCATGTAAAGAACAACTCCCAATAATACAATCAAATTATGAATCCATCGATGAATCAATCCCTTGATGAGATTAAAGCGATCATGAGCCAATCACTTTCCTAAAAGCCCCATCTCTGAGTACTGCTGTTAGAGGAACAAGCCTTCAGCTTTTTTTTTTTTTTCTCAAGCAGTTATTCCCTACGCTAACGGGTTTCCAAGAGTTAGGCTATTTGTAATAGCAACTTGTGATTTTAGAAAGGAATTTTTTTTTTTTACCTTTTTCTAACATCAGGGAGGTATTTTACTGAGAGATATAAACAAAGCCAGTAAATGAAGTGTGGTAACAGGCAAAAAGTATGTGAGCAAACTGACTTTAAATGAAATGGTTGTCTAAAGAAATGTTGCAACTTGTATCAGAAAGAAATTCAATAAGGAAAAAATCCTTAAGAATATTGACAAATATTCACAAAGGGCAAATTTATAGGCATTCTCCCATTCACCAAAGTATGGCTTTTTTCAAACTAATTAAAAACATTTCTATTACATAAAAATGTGTTAAGCTTACTTTTTAAAAAGTTTGCATTATTGAGAAAAGCATAATCCAAATACTAGCTAATTCCTAACGTCTCTCCAAGACTTAGAAATAATCAAGTAACTTACATCAGGAAAACAGATCGAACAGGAAGAAGTAAGTAGTGCTTTCCAAATGGACTGGATTTGTCTCCTCTGGGCTCCAGAAAGAACGTACTTATGACTGCTTAAGAAAGGAGAATAGATACTTGGAATAACTTACTCCTATTTTTCCCTTATCGTTTCTCCTGTAGAAAGCAGTAACAACTTCAATACTTCATTAATATTGCCCAAGATAAGTAATATTTTTTATCTAATATGAAGTTTCAAGTTTCTTATTCAAGATAGGCGTGGGCTCAGAGAACAGGGCAATCATGCCATTCAAAGGCATGCCTGAAGCCATTTGTGGTTCATACATTCAAGGTTGAATGCAATACAGTATGAAATATCTTGTGCAAATTAACTAGTCTGAAGGAACATTCAATTTAGGAATTGTCAGACAATTGTTAAGCATTGTTGTGCTTAGAATCCACCCCCATATTTTCTTTTCTTCTGATAACAGGATGTATTGTTGCCTCACAATAAACTCAGTTTTTAGGACCAATGAAACCTGATTACTTAGTAAACAGGTGGCTATGTGTGTGTGTGCTGTGTGGCTGTTAATTTATATTCTCATGACCACTTTACAGCTATCTTTCACTTCCAGTGTGTTTATATGAAAAGAGCAGGGAGGGATACTTGATATCAACAAATTAAAGAACAAGAAGAGGTCAGAATACAGGGATATCACCTAAGTAAAAGATGTCTTACACACACAAAAAATGTTCATATTGTAGATGGGAACCTGTCAGGGCTTGCAGTGCTTTATTTAGATGATGTAGCCCCCCAAATAGTGAAAGTTTACTACATTCTTTTTAATATTTTTAGTTGTAGATGGACACAATCTTTATTTTTATGTGGTGCTGAGGATTGAACCCAGTGCCTCACATGTGTGAACACTCTACCACTGAGCTACAACCCCAGCCCAATTTACTACATTCTCCATTCTTATAAATGGTAATATTTAGTAAGCAAAGGTTAATATCTGAAACAACAGATGAAATGTACAGTCTTACAGATTTGGGATCTTCCAAGATACAATTTTAATGTAAAGAATGAAGTGGCCCCTCTCATGATTGTAGAGCTAACTTCTGTTGTAATGTGTCCCAACCTCTGTTTACAGAGGGTAAAGCATTCTTTTTCTTTTATTTAGAAAACCAATTCTACAATACATCAGTGTTTAAATGACTCTAAATCTTTGAAGGGAACAGTTTGGGTTTGCAATATTCCTATATGTAACTTTTTTACTGACTCATCCCTGGTAAAATCCTGAAGATTTTAAGAAATCCCACACATGGACTAAAAAATCCTCAGAACACAATGGGCTTCAAGTACAGGAACTCTTGCTGTTTAAGGAAGATAATGATTACAGACGCTATAATGAAAGAGCACCAATGCAGTTTATTTTAATGCTTCTAATTTATGAGAATAATTTCTTACTGCTACATCATTAGTAATCAATACTGAAGTTGGAAAGCACAGTTAAGACCCACAACTGTATTGGACTACACAACTTCACACAATACTAGGCACCATTATTCTAAAACAAAAACAAAAACTGAAGTATGCATGACAAAGTTCTTAATCTTCAGGGGATCCATGAACCACCCCCCCCAAACTGTACAGAAGTTGTATAGTATGCATGCATAAAATTTTCTGGGGAGCAGCCTCATTAAATCTACTTTTAAAGGGGCACAAGGAGGCTAAGAAACAGTACATGAAAGAATGCTAGTCTCCCCTATATTTTCAATGGTGGAAGAACTGGGCAGGGAAAAACTCTGAAGTGGTGTTTGCTTTATGAGTTCAGGAAAATGTTCTGATTTAGAATGGAGAAATCGGGACACAAGTGGTAACATGAGCTGGAAACAAGGACACTCCCAAGAGATTTTGTATGAATAAAGCAATAGCATGAATTTAAGATGCAATTTAACTCCAGTACAATTTTTAGTTTCTGCATATTATCAGCTTATTTTTATTTTTGAATATCACAAACTTCAATCAGAATACTTTTAAAAATATTATTTTGCATGCATTTAACAAATCTGACAAAAAGGACGAGTATCCAGTTTATTTGCGTTATTAACTATGAGGTTTTAACTCGACAGCCAATTAACAGATATTTAAAATAATTAGGTACAGGTAACAATGGAAAAACTTCAATGCATTAATCAGATGGCACCCTATCACTATGCATATGTTCATATAACACTACTAGTAATGACCCTTAAGCACAGGCAAATGGAGATGGAGGACTCTCCCTAAAAAGCAAGTTTAAGGGATTAAATATCATCATCATCATCATCATCATCATCATCATCATCATCACTACTAAGGACAAAGCTGCTGCCTGTGGACAGTGCATCTTCTTTCACATTCCCCAAAGTCCCCCTGTCATCAGAATCCTCAAACACCTTGTCATTGGAACACTCCTCATCAAACTTCTCACTGGAATTGCCATCTTCAAATACCTTTTCATCTACATCTTCATCTTCCTTTATGTCTGCATCTTCTTCATCTTCCTTTTCATCTGAGTCTTCAAACAGCTTTTCATCAGCATCCTCCTCTTCTTTCTCATTAGCATCTTCCTGCTCTTTTTCATTGGCAAAATCTTCATCCTCCTTCTCATCAGACTCATCATCAAAAACCTTTTCATATATATCTTCTTCTTCCTTTTCATCTGAATCTTCATCAAACTCTCTCTCAGAACCTTCCTCGTCATCTAACACTCTCTCAGAGCCTTCATCAAATTCTGATTTGTCGGTGTCATTTTCTTCTAACTCTTTGTCAAGAATGTTTTCAGGAAACTCTTTGTCAGAGCCCTCCTCATCAAAATCATTTTCAAGGCCATTTTCTTCAAATTCTTTTTCGGAGCCTTCTTCTGACTGCTTTTCAGAACCATCTTCATCAGATTCTCTCTCTGAGTCATCCTCTCCGGATTCTTTTTTGGGGCTATCCTCCTCTTCAGACTCCTTTTCAGGGTCATCATCTTCAGACTCTTTGGCAACACCATTCTCTTCATAATCACGTTTGAGTTTCTTCTTTTTAGATTCTCTCTCAGGGCCATTCTCTTTCAACTCCTTCTTAGGACTGCCCCCTTCAAAATCTTTTTCAGAACAGCCTTCTTCATATTCTCTTTTGGGACAGCCTCCCTCACACTCTTTCTCAAGGCAACTCTCTTCAGACTCTTTTTCAGGGCAGCCTTCTTTGACCTCTTCTTCAGGCCCACCTTCTTTAACATCTTTTCCAGAAGCCTCTCCTTCAACTTCTTCCACATCTTCTGCTTTTTCAAACTTCTTCTCATCAATAGGTTCTTCAAATGCCACTCCAGTTGCAGCTTCTTGAGCACTCATTTTAGATGTGCTTGGGTGCTCTGAAAAATGCCTTATTCTAGAAGGCCCTGCCCTTTCTGAAGCACAGACAGAATTTGAACGCTGAAGGCCTCTGTTGGCCTCCGGGGCATTGAGGAATGCCTCCCATCCTCTCAGCCTTTCCTCTCTTTCTCTTGAGGTCTCCTCCACCTGTGGATGAGTAGAAACTGCCATTAAAATGAGTTTTAGGCAACAAGAACAATTTCTCTGAGTGTTTCTAATACTGATGAAAATACCCTGATTTTATAAGGCAGCTTCCCTCAGGAAATCCTAGTAATATCTGTCTTCAGTTTTCAAACACTTTACATTTTGATTTACTGACTTTAAATAATAGCCAACCTTAAATAGGATCATTTAACTAAATGAAAACACCACAGTACTGCAGAAATGCTTCATGTCTTAAAAGTTAGTATTTGAGTTCTGTCTGGACACAACAACACAGAAAGGAAAAGAAATGGTTTGGTTTAATGTGTTCTTTTCTTATCACTATTCTGGGCAAGTCTCAAAATTTCAGACTTACAAACTGCAACATTTTTTTCTTTCCATCCTCTGAATGCAAAGTATTATTTAAAAGAAGTGTTGTTACACTAAACAGATTAAACCAAACCCAAAACTTCATCCTAAAAGACTGCTTGATCAATATTTGTTGGTAATGAAACAATCTGTGTGCCCTTGATAACTGTAGAATTCACCTGATAATCTGTAGTCCCATCCCATGCTTGGGCGGTGATTTGTCGACCACCAAACCATCTTCCATCAAGGGTCTGAATACAATGATCAGCTTCCTCTGGATCTCTAAAGGACACAGAGGCCACACCATCTGGGTGCCTCTAGAAAGACAAGAATGAACAAAAAATAATGAACAATAAGATTAAAAGTAAAACACATTTGATAAAGTATGTAAGGAATAGTATTCTCTTTGATACTTTAAGGTAGAAGACTTTAAGAAGTCTTTCTCCCTTTTATCCCAAAAATGGCATGCATTCAGCTATTTCTTTAGCTACATCTTATCTAGCAAGAGCCAGAAATATTTCTGCAAAAAATATTGTCTAATGAGAGATAAGACAGAGTAATTGTTAAGACTGTGAACACTGAAGTGAGATTCACTCTGGGATTAAATCCTGGCTGTTAGTTGCCAGCTGAATAAAGCCTGGGCACAGTGCTCCATCTGAAAAGTTTTAGTTTTCTCATCTGTAAAGTGGGTAGAATAGGACTTACCTACCTTGGAAGGGTTGTTGAGGGCTAAATGAGACAACATGTAAAGGAGCTAATAGTACAACAAAAATAAATGGTGACTTTAAATTGCTATGTCAATTTTGGAAGTAAAAGAAGGATGAAAAGGGGAAATATACAGTAGAATATTTTCCCCAATTGATCCAAATATAGAGAAGAATAATTTAGAGAGGGGAAAATGTGGGCAAATAGGGAAAAATAAAGTCTTGTACATTTTTCTTGTAGTTTCTTTCACCTGATCACATCCTCTAAGAGGGATGAAGAGAAATGAACAAGACATACCAAGTCTATCAAAGCCTTGACTTGTAAAAAATGTCTATCTAGTTGATAGATGACTACTATCAGATAGCAAACTTACTATATTAAAATATTAATCTAAAATTTAGGGGCTTACTAATGTTCAATAATCATTTATTAAGCTAGAAAAATAATTGCTTTAAGATTCATTTTTCCAAGCCATGAACTTACATCAAAGAGAAGGAGCTTCCTAATTTGTCCAAACTTGG